ATATATATATATATATATATATATATATATATATATATATATATATAGTGAGACAGGAAGGTAGAGATGAGAAAAAGATTGGGGGAAAAAATAAAAGTAAACAATGGAGAGATTTTCCAGTGAGTAAAGATATCTCTGATATTATGCCTGTATTGCTGTAGGGGCTCCTGCCAGGTCATCTGTCCTTTGGGCTTGACCCCCAGATCCATCACTTAGCAGATGATCTGGGACAAAGCAAGTAACTTTACTTCCTCACTTGGAAAAGTAAAAGGATGATCACATCTACTTCATAACCTGATTTGGGATTGGAGGAAATAATTCAGAAGAATTATTTCTTAGGCAATATGCTTAGGAAGAATTCAGTGTACAGAGTAGCCTGTATGTAGCTGACAACAGGGAAGCCATTGCTGTGTCGTAAGTATCTTCCTCTGATGGCTATGAAACCTTGGCCCTTTCTTTAGGTTCTAAATTGTCTAAGTCACTATACCATAAGTAGGTTTTTTTTGGAACTGTTAAAAAAGACAGGATTTAATTAACATTTCTAAATCACTATGAAGTGTTTGTTAGCTTAAATTATAACAAGTACATGAAATTTCTCCGGCTGATGGGACAGTCAAAAATTTCTTATTTATTTGTAGAAATGCTAGCTAGAACTTAAAGTTTGTTATTTAATTCTTTGAGAGAGCCCAGCAATTGACTTTGAAAATATGAAAAAATAAAGATATTTTATTTAAAAAATGAAGATCCTTTCAATATATTTTTCAATATATCCTTTCAATATATTTTCACCTTGAATCAGTCTAAAATCTGTATTTTCTCAGCCCTAATAACACTATCAAGACATTGATCCCCAAACACAATTAAACAAGCAGCTACTCAGGATAGGAATATTCCAGCTGGGCTCTCCTAGACTGAATTAGAAGCAACTCATGGAACACTGGAGTTTATGCTTCTGAGCTTGGTTTCCCTGTGATCATGGCTGCAATGTGACCACAGGCTTTTCATCCTTACACATGACTTAGGATGCTTATAAATAGTTGTCTCCAATCTTTAGACTTAGAAGAATTTGCTTGTACAGTTGTTATGGAAACACTCAGAACATTTCTAACATTAAATGTGACCTGCATATTTATTGGCAAGATCACCCTGAGGGAAATCCGTTAACCTTCCCTGATGAATTAAATAAGACAACACATGTAAAAACCTAGCAAGTAGTGAAGTGTCAATATTGTTTATGCTCACTGTGGTTAGATAGAACCAATTGATTCTATAGTCTTAGGAGAGTGGTTAATTAACATGTTAAATGACAACAATAGTATTTACACAGATAGATCATTGTACCAGAGGCACGGTGAACATTTATTAAGTATTATTTAAATACTCAGTAAATGTTCTTTTCCATCCTTCTCATGAAGGAAATGGTGCTGGAGCAATGAAATTATTTCCTTGTTGAACAGGTGAAGCTCTACATGATCATGTCTGAAAGTGCTTAGTGAGCACAGCAGAAAAAAAATAAAGCAAATGTTCTTAGTTTCTCCCATCGTACCATGGGAGCAGAACATCTCTCCACAAGGAAGGTGCCGAGCGCAAGAGCAGCGAGCGGAGACGAGTTGCACCCACCCATCCTTGCAGATGCACACGCAGCTGGACAAGATGAAGTGAGGAAGCGCATGCAGTACCTGGTCATGTCAGAGTCAGGGAGCAGGCCTAGGTGGTAGTGGGGGTAGGGAGCTGAGAGAAGGAAGCTTTTGTCACACTCAACAGGGGAATAGTGCCTGGGAGATGCAGGCTTATCACAGAGTTTGTTCACAGTGCTGTAAACAGGTTCCGGTGGCCTGGTGATACAAGAGGAAGAGAAAGACGCGTAGTTAGCACAAACGAGGACCCATTTCACTGCATTTAAAATAAAAGCCCAACTTGATGACACTGCACCGTTATGTCCCAGTACAAACCAAACTTTCTACTGTCCATACTTAATACATCATACCTTGTTGATGAATTCATTTATACACATATTGACTTTATTCCTAGCCCCAGTTGTGAGTAGATATGGCACCACAAAAGTATTTATACCAATGTGACCTGGGCAGAGGGTTTCTCGAATAGCTGCTGACAGGGAAGTTGATTTAGCTAGGATCTTTGTAATTATCTCCTACTGAATTCCTCCCTCTGCTAACTTGAGACTCAAAGCAATGTGGTGGCTGGTACATCAATAGCTACCTTGGACCCTGAAGTGACCTAGGGGACAGAGGTAAATTGTATAGGCAGTTAGTTGAGCATAATGGATGTGGCCGTGAAGCTGGTGACACTGATGACATTACGGTGCCTCTGGCTCCCTTTCATGGGGGATAAAAACTCATTACCTAGTTTAAGGTACTGTCACCTCTTGTTATATAAACAGGATATAAAATTAAGATGTATTTTTTTTTATTAAATTTAAGGCTGTGGCTTTAATACAAAGAACTATCTATCTTATCCCACTATAGGGACTACCAACATTTAGTTACATTTGCAATTCACTGAACGTTCTCCCTTCACAGGAAGATATAAGGCTTGTACCTTTTCTTAATATAAAATTTGGAGTTTGTAACTATTCAGAAAACTTGGTGAGTTGTGTGTTATGTGACTGCTGGAGTCTGATCTAAACTGCTAGCACAGGATCTAGGAAAAAAAAAGGGGGTTGATGAATATAGAACATTTCCATGATAATATAACCTCCATATCCTATTTGCCCAGGAGAGCTGATTCAATTTTCAGTTTGATGTTGACTCTACAGACCAAGAGAATGATGTTACAATTTTTCTAGTTCAGTTTTACGATATGTAGAGAAAAAAAAGAACCAAAGCTGATAATACATGCCTTCAAAAGCATCTTAGCTATATTGAATTCAGCTAACTTAAAGATAAATGCTTCAGTTTCTGAATACCATAGTAAATTCAGGACAATGAAAATTGACTTTGTACTTTGCCAAGAGCCGAACTCTTTAAACTTTCACTTGTATTTTTGCAATGACTTTATATCTATAGTGCATTATATTATTCAAGAATTAAATCAGTATTTGGCAAAACAGCAGTACACCAGGTTTTAGAAGGAGGGTGCTCATTTTTTCTTGCTTACAATCACCCTAATGTTCTTTCATCAACTGATCTATGCTTAATGGTTTATCACCCAAAGCCTGTGACTGCAGAGATAAGTTGCTTGTGTTACAGGTTTATTTAACTCTGCACTCTAATCTGCCATTCCTTCTTTGTTCGTGTGCTTTTTTTTTTAATACGGTCATGTACTAAAGGCTAGGTGTCTCTGACTCACGCTCTTGTCTTGGTTGTAAGAATGCTTGATACCTGTGGACATGAACCAATGAGAAAAAACAAAGACTAAGACGTGGCATACTTGATTAAGTCCTCTTACAGGCAAACAGCAAAATTCAAATGATGAGGCTCATCTTTGAAGCTTTTCAACCAATGGCTTCATTATAGTCCTAGAATTTGGCACTGTAGTGTGTAAAATATAGGTCTCAGTACAATACATAGTAAGTGCTTGCACACAAGCTACATTCTGAATGCTCATTCTGGGAACTGGATAAATGTTTGCTGAATCAACAGATAATACTGAGAAAAATACACTTTCCTGGCTCTTTCAAGGAAGCCCTAACATATTCTGGGCATTTTTAGATCATCATTAGATCTAAAACTGTTTATATTACCTTAATTGTTAGGTTGTGAAGAGGGATGGAATACAAAATGAAAGAAAAGCTTTAAGCACTCAGCAGGCAGAGTTCATGCACTCTTTGAAGAATGAGCCTCTTGTGTTAGTCACTGTGCCTGCACATAGTTCTTGTGAGAGTCCCTCTCCATGTACACAACACTCCTTGGAGACTTCCTAGCCCTGAGCTCCAGAGGGTCTAATACTAGCAGCCAGAATATCAGTCCTTTGTAGTTATGTCCCCTGTGCCATCTCTGCAGATAGCCAAAGAAATGCCAGTCACTGTCCCTGGGATCTAGTGGCTAAAATACATGTCACCATCACTTCAGTAAAGAAATGCAATGGACCCTAGAAGAGGTTTAGAGATAAAGATGGAGCAGAGATTGAGGGAATGTCCAACTAGTGCCTGGCCCAAGCTGAGACCCACCCCATGGGAGAGAGCCAACCCCTGACATTACATGATACTCTGCTATGCTTGCAGACAGGAGCCTAACATAACTATTTTCTAACAGGCTTCATTCAGCAGCTGATGGAAACAGATGCAGAAACCCATAGCCAAATATTAGGTGGATCTTGGGGAGTCTTGGGAAAGAGTGGGAGGAAGGATTGAGGGAGCCAGAAGAGTCAAAGACACCACAAGAAGACCTACATAGTAAACTAACTTGGGCCAACAGGGGCTCACAGAGACTGAACCACCAACCAAAGAGCATGCATGTTCTGGACCTAGGACCCCTACAGATAAGTAGTAGGTGTACAGCTTGTCCAGCATATGGGTCTCCTAATAATTGGAACAGGGGCTGTCTTTAACTCAGTTGCCTGCCTTTGGATCCCTTTCTCCTGGCTGGGTTGCCGTATGGCCACGGTGGGAGAGAATGTGCTTAGTCCTGTTGTGATTTGATGTGCCAGGGTGGGATGGTTCGTATGGTGAAGAAGGGGAGGAGGGATTGGAAGGAGGGGCCATGAGGGTGGGATTGGGAGAAGAGGAGGGAGAGGATTTCAGTTAGGCTGTAAAGTGATCAAATTAATTAATGGAAAACAAACAACCCCTCCAAACAACAAACAAACAAATGGAAATGCAGTGGAGATGTTTCCTGCAGTCTGAGTCAGCCAGTCACAATGGAAGGTCCTGTTTATTGTGTTATAAGTCCCCCCGAGTCAGAAAGTAATGAATATAGCTTTTTAACCAAGGTGTCTACTTGCTCTCTTTATTCTGTGCTTATCCCCTGGACTAGTGGAAGGGATAGTTAAAGATATTAGTGAAACCTCTAAGTGAATTTATAAATAAATCATTTATCCTGCCATGCCCTTACCAAAGGCCATAGAAAACTGACTTCCTGGTCTCATCTGCTGAGCCAGCAGCATTCATTTGCTCTGTGGGTTTATAATTGCAGGCTCTCGAGCATACAATTAACACAGTCCTGGCCCTTGGTGATCTTTGTCTTCTCTGAACTCTGTTAGCTCTTGCTATTTGCTCTTGCCTCTTCACATTTTTAATCATGATTGCATGCACAATTAGGACACCATGGAGAGGGATGCTGTGTCTCTACTCCATTTAGAACCCTGTCTATACCCCATCTATACCCTGTCTGTAACAGTCCCTCCCCCCACTTGACACGCACCCAACCAGCCCCTGCATAACCAGTGTGACTTATACCATTTGACCAGAACTGGGCTCCTCCTTCTTGGTATGTTCATGATATGTGTGGTACGGATCGAAAGAAATAGCGAAAAACAAAAACCAGGACTACTGAGTTGGCTTCTTCTATGAGAATCGAATAGTTAATGAATAAAGATATAGAAAAAGAAATTAGCTGACAGTGTAAGAAAAGGATTCAGCATAAGAAAAGATACATGTAGTCACTGTGGCGGTGCCTTCTAATGATAGGCAACCAGAGTGGACCTCTGCTAAACTCCTGCAGGTTCACTCCTGTGTTCACTCTAGAATAACTATCTAGGTTCATCCCATAGGCAGCCTAGGAGGAGGACATAGGCTACTGAACTTCCCTGATGGCTCCCTTTTGACATTTGTGGTGTAATGAAAATCAACTGCAAACCTCCTACCTTATCCCCCTGATAGAGCTTAGGTCAGAACTTTTGCTTGCAATTAACAGAAAAAGAAAACAGACACTTTCAGTCACTGTAAATAGATTATGCTGCTCAGGGAGACTGCCAAAACAGGATCTGAAGCCAGGACCAAATCAATCCTGTTTTTCAAGTTTTGATAATTTGGTTCATGATTCATTCTTTTGCATTAGTTTTATCTTTGAATATTGTATTGAAGGGTTATTAGTACTGACTTTTTTTTTGGTGTCCCTTTAAGTTTTGGACCTGCTATGAATAGTAGCAGTCCCCACTACCACCGCCTTCCAGGAAATGTTGATAAGACTGATAGGGTTGTAAAAGCTCTTGATGTAGGTAGCACTCGAAAGTGCCAGATCAAAGAGCTAGAACTCACTTTTTTTTTGTTTTGAGAAAACAACAAGATTGATCCACACTTTAATGAGTTTTTCAACTCCCCATCAAAACCCTCAAGCTATCTCAAGCATGGACTTTGCTTAATTCTACTGTCATATTTGGTTCACGTGTCTTTTTCTTTCTTTAGCAATTAATTCCTAGATGACAAGGATCAAATGTCATTTATCTTTGCCATCTCCCTTGTTTTCTTAGCTATAGAGATGTATGGAGGGGTCTTTTCTGAGACTGATACTACAACCAAGGACCATGCATGGAGATAACCTAGAACCCCTGCTCAGATGTAACCCATGGCAGTTCAGTCTCCAAGTGGGTACCCTAATAAGGGGAACAGTGGCTGACTCTTTGATCACCTCCCCCTGAGAGGGGAGCAGCTTTGCCAGGCCACAGAGGAGGACAGTGCAGCCAGTCTTGATGAGACCGGTTAGACTAGGGTCAGATGGAAAGGGAGGAGGACCTTCCCTATCAGTGGACTTAGAGAGGAGAATGGGAGGAAATGAAGGAGGAGGGGTAGGATTGGGAGAGATTGAGGGAGGGGGCACAGCTGGGATACAAAATTAACATAAAAAATAAAAAGTAAAAAAAGATACAAAACAAACTGAATCAGTGAGGAGATCACGAGGAGACCTGGGGCACCAAGGGCTCCACCGGCTAAGCATCT